CTTACACAAATAACGTTAAAAGTAATTTGCAACGATGTGCATCAGTATTTATCAAGGGCTAACCACTGTATATGATGCATGGATGTGTTACCCTGGTGATTCGTGATGGATAAGGTTAGAAGCACCCAGACTTCTGGAACCTGCACACAAGACCTCTGACCATCGAAGGTCAACCACCCCAATCTTTCGCCACGGAGAAAACACCACGACGGCGATGTTGTCCCGTCGCATTTGTCGTGAACAGAAACCATGCCACAGGAACTCCGCTGTGCGGATCCAAGAATTCGAAGTTCCACATCCTTCGATGTTCTTCCAAGTACTGCGACGTCGGACATCGCATGGCGTGACGGTCGAGGGCGCACGCGCAAAAGGGTCGCGCCTGCCAGGAATCAGCGGCCCAAGTGGGATCCTGCACCAAGTCCAGGCGGCTCACAACCCAAACCATGCTGTGTCGCACGGCTGAAGCAACGACCAAGGGCCTCTTTTTGTTTAAAAGGTGTTTCGGTGGAGTTTTCGACTCACTGCCACGAATTCGTCCCCTCCACCTGGCCACCGTGAGCGGAGCGCAGCGTTGAAGCGGGTCCAAAACCAGGAACCAAACGGCCACTGCGAGCGACCCCGGGGTCCGCCCCCAGCATCCGACCATCTGAGTGTGGCTGGAGGTCCCAAACGCCCCACTACGAAGAGTAGTGGGATCTCCACACCCAAACAGGATGGAGTCCAGGCTATGAACCGACTCCTTTTCAGCCAAGGTCAACCTCTGGAGGCTTGGTGACCTTGGTTCACGATGACCTGGATCCGGAGGTCCATAAAGAAAAGCACTGGTTTGGTCGATGTTCTTGTTGAGATCCCCAAAGAAGAAGGCTTGAAGAAGGTAACTCCTCTCAAATCCCCACAAATGTCGAAAATCGGACCCGGCGGACCAACCACAGAACCCAGAGATCCCCGGTGCCCGTGATGCGTTCTCCTGCCATCCCTCGTCTGTCTCTGGCTCCTGCAAAATTGCTGCAGCTGAAAGCTGTGATGGGAAGGACAATTCAAAAGTTGGTGTGGATGAGTGCCGCATTCACCCCAAAAGACAGTGGATGATGCTGATGGTGATAGTGATGCTAATGCCGCCCGCCGCCGCCGCCGCCGCCGCTGCCGAGGAGGAGGAGGAGGATGGGTTAGCAAAAGCATCACTGCAACATCTTTCAATGTACATCTGAATGCAAGGAAAGTATATAGCAGATTATAGCAGCATATTATCTACAGTGGCTGTGATTGGGAGCCCGGCTGCCTACAGAAACCCAAAAATTGCCAAGAACCAACAGCCAGCCTGGGCATTTTCCAAGATCATTCAACACAAGTCACTATCCTAAGACTATCCTGGCAATCTCGGTTTCTGCCTCCTTCTTCCGGTGGGGCATGTGTCCGTGGACCGCTTCCGGCGGTCAAAGCGGTCGCACCCTGCTTCTTCAGGCGGACCACCCGCCTGCCAGGAGTCATCAAAGGGCTCCTCCACGATGAGCTGGGACTCTACCTATACATCCAACCGATACACCAGGGTCATCTACTGTCATGGGCGGATGGGGAGTCGACTTAGGGCCATGCCATCCCATCCCATTCACGTGACCCTGATCATTCTGGTGGGTTGAGGTCCGAACCAAGAATTGGAGAATGGGAGGGATGGTCATGGAGGCCCAATTCTATGGTCCAATTGAGTTTAGATGAGTTTTAGGTCCAATTCTAGGGAGATCATGGTGATGTAGATGGTGGATGGTCATTGAGTCAATCACTCTGGTCAATGGACGCCTAACTGATTCAGGTATTGAGGTAGGGTCCAATCGGTCAACCGTGCGAGCGGCTTCTACGACCTCCGAGCTCTGCTTGAGCCTTGCAGTGCCCAGCCAATTGTGCTAGTAGAGCCCAAGACCAATCTCAGTGGGTGTTTCAACAAGCCATGAGGCTGTGCGAACAAGCCATTCAACCACGAAGGAGCTACCCAAAACAATCTACTAGTACTACCTCTTATGGCTAAACATGCTAGCTGGGCTGTGCCCTGCTCTTCCTCTCCTCGTTGCAAATAATTCCCCCTCGAAATGTTGTGATGGGCCTTGGGTGGGTTGTCCCATTGAGCTTCCCGGTCTTCGCACGGGCGCCCTAGCTGGATGGCGCCCTAGCTGAAGTGGTCTCGAAACCGCCGGCACCGGGCGCCTCCGCCTCCGCTTCTTGGATGGACTGGGCGCTCCGCTCCGTCACCTCGCGCGCTTGCGCCTGGGGCGGAGCTCCGTGGAATCCGTGTCCGCCGGGAGCGCCCGAGCAGCGTTGGGCGTTCGGATCTGAGAGCCCGAGACGAGGCCCCAGGGCACTAGATCGAAGATCGACTTCATCCAGTGGCGGAGAAAAAATGGTCAAAATCTCCGAGCTGCCCCATATACCCATTGGGGAGTTGCACCGGAGACCCGCCCAGCTGGCGTTGTTGGAGGATCCCAGGTTGACATACTGTGACAGAACGGAAACCCTTGGGGCCCAAGGGGTATAGAATTCCAAACACCATCCTCCGAATGTTGGTTCTTACAACCCCTGCCCCCCCTCCCCCAAAAAATAAGATCTCTCCAACTCGGATCTTCTGGGATCCTCCTCCCAGACACGACTCTCCATGGGACTGGCATATATGCCGATCAATTGACTCCAGGTCAACCACCCCCAGGTCAACCACCCCAGGTCAATGCCATGTAAATATGCCAGTCCCATTAGTCGTGCCTGGGCCCAATCAACCTCCTCTTTCAGTCGCCCAGGTCCCCGCCTCCAGGGCCTCTGCGGCGCCCGGTTGACACAAGATCGCCGCCTCCTGGCGCGCGGATCCGCCGGATCGAGAAAACGCACCGGGTGATGGTGGTGATGGGAAGACGAGTCATGAGTGGTCGTATCAACTCGGCCTTCGAGGTGGTCCAAAAGGAAACACCCTCTTCTAAAAAGTCGCTGCGTAGAATGACATGCCCCCGATCTCAAGAGAAGGAAGAAGGATGAACAGAAAAAGACACACAAAACTCCCCCCCCCCGCTCCGCCGATCCGCTCCGCTTTTGTGCCGCTCTTTTTTTGCTCCGGGGAAAACATGAAAGATCACGAAAGCGCACGCACGGCTTCCGCATCCATCGCGAAGGAGATGGAGGTTCTGTGAAAACTTTTGCAGTTAAAACAGCAGGAGGATCCAGGCATGCAAATTTGGACCTCCCAGGTATCAGCTGCAAGTTGCAGTGAAGCAATTTGGATGTGAACTGGATGTTAGTTTTCTGCAGAAAAATCGAGGGGGAAGGTTCGCGTGACGCGTGTCCTTCGTTCTTGAAGAGAGTGTGTGTGTGTGTGTGTGTGTGCGCATGTGTGCTCATAACTACGCCGATTTGTTCGACACCTGTCTACCTCTATTTCGGTCCATCCGGCACTTCTTCGATGGGCGAGAACAAATACGCAAGCCCACAATTCCACATGGCATAAGTGATTGCGCCGAGCAAGTATTCCCGTGCCCACTGCACCAGGCGTTCGAATGTCCTGCCCTGTTTTGGCCGTTGTTTTGGCCGCGGCAAGGGTGACATCGGCTACAATGGAAGATTGGCCACATTGGTCCATGGGACAGCATTTCAGCACATCTTACCCATCTGTCCAGACTCTACTCCGCATCTTTTTCTGCCGGACATTTTTGTAGATCAAGAGTAAGAGAGCATGTGCATCTAGTAAAGTCCCCGTTCGTTTCTTTCTTTCTTATCATGAAGACGACGACGATGATGATGGTTGTGGTGACCCCCCCACATATAGTATAAAATCCAAAACACAAAACATCAAACACGTTCAACAATACCGCCCCCGTGCTCACGCAACATAGTACCCAGGTGGCTGCTAGAAGAATCCATGAGATCGACATAACCACAAGCCGATTGGACTGCCATGATCTTCTAGCTTTGCCTTGATCGAAAACCATTCCATCTTCATGGCACCTGATGTTCCAAGTGGTCTTTGGTGGCCTTCTCACACAGGGACACCGACCACTTCAGTCCCATGGACACTCCTCCCGGGGCCGCGCGGTCCGGGCCGCGCGGTCCGGAGACGGCGAGTCTGGACGAGGAGGAGGCTTCGTCTCATGACGAGACATCTACGGCATCTGCTGGGCTTGTTTCATGCATCACCCAATAAGGAGAAAAAAAACACAGGAATAACCATGAGGTCACTGGCAACCAGTTCCGACTGGAACCCTGGTTTTTTAGAAAGCCATGACTCATTTGACCCTGGCGTGCTAGTGGTGGATTATGACTCCTAGGTGGCGTCAACTGAGTCGATGGAAGTTCTGGGTTCGGCTGACTGGGTGCAGTAGGTAGGCACCATGCCTGGGGAGAAGAGGTGGAGTAGGTAGGCACCATGATCCCAAGGTCAACGACCGAGAAAAACCCGGAAGAGATACATATCATTATATACATATCCCATTGATTTGTTATAGAGCGTTCTGGCCCGTTTGTGGCTAGGTTCTGGATCGATCACACCCCCCAAGATCCCCAAGCTAAGGATCCGTGTGGGCATTGACCCATCCCCAATATGGTCAAGTGGAATGGTGGAATACCATAGTAATACAATTTTGGATTATTTGGGGTTGTATTGGGTGACCTGATGTGGGGCAAAGCATGATTGGCGCGCTCCTGCTGACGAAGTTCTGCAATACCGGGACTCATGGATACTTGGAAATAGTCCAGCCAACGCAACAAATCCCCCATTCTCAAAAGAAACACGTCATGTGGAACAACCATAATCCTCAGGTTCGGCGGTTTCCCCCCCCAAAGCCACCCACCCCTGTCCCACTGAACCTGAGTATGTGCCAAGGGGCCCTGAGGCCAAGCTGGCTAAGCCTCTGGCTGTGGAACTCCAAGAAAAAGAACACCTACAAGTCCAGTCTGACCCCGTAAGTAAAACATAGTAAAACCAGAGTCGTTTGCTTGCTTGAATTGACTGTCTTTTTGGTGCATGACCAACTCCGGTCAAATGAGGTCATTGACCTCTATAGGGAAAACCTGGTCTCCTGCCGCCTCCCCGGTCCCGGCTCCGGACTCTGGGCGTCACAAACCGCCGCCGTCAGGACTCAGCATCCGCTCTTCAGCAGGGCACCTTGCGCCCCGGCGGCGATGCAGTCACCTGGTGGCGGTGGCACATGGTGTCCACGAAACGTTCTAAGGGAACAAAGGAGCTTCCTGGTTGGTGGAATCAAGATATCCCAAAGGTTCAAGACTGAGTTGGTGAAGCTCTCAATCCAAGTAAAGGTCGTTGGGTCAAAAACACTTCAGGTTTCACCACCCAGCCACCCACGCGGCCGGGGCCGGCGAAGATGGTGGTGTTGCCCGAGCAGGGCGCTTCGGTGGCGGCAAAGCGGTAGGCCGTCACCTTCCTGGAGGGAAGCGAGGCGCTGAAGGTGGGGTGTGTGGGCGGTACGACTGGACCCGACGTTTTGGCACCTACATGTCTCAGTGTCGAACACATCACCTTCTGAGAGGCTACTTGGATCCCTAGGGTTGGTAGATGAGTGGAAAGCTTCTCATGATTTTGCAGATGGAATGGTTGCTTGGAGATTGGTTGGGTTGGTGGTGTTTTTTCCATGGTTGGAGGCGAAGAAGTTAACCTTTATAGATCTCTAGGAGGCTCGCACATAACCACTCACCACAAACAAAAACACTGCCACTAGGAAATACTTGACTGGTCTGCCAATGAGTCTCCGAGGCCAAGACCGAGCTTTTTTCGAGGATGGACCTTTGGAACCCCCCAATTAGATACAGTAGAAAAGTAGATCCCCACATCGAAAATGTATGAACATGTATTGGAAACCGTGCCGTGCCACTATCTATTTGGGGGACCCCTTTTTTTTGTGATGCACAGTGTCTTCTGGGAGTTCGAGGCCATCCTGGAGTAGGAAGAAGGCTGTGATATATAACTCTACAACTAACTCTACACAAACGATCATGGGTACTTGGATGGCGTCCGTCAGATGAGTGTTTTCTTCAAATGTTCCTCTGCAAAGCAAGTGGTGAACTCAACTTCTAGGAATATTTCAGAGTCTCTACCAGCACCCTCCAAGGGGTCACCAATGGAAGCCCACACACTACTGAGAGATCTCCATTGGACACCCCTTAGAAGGTCCAGGTAGGCTTTTGAGATCACTTCATTTCGCCAAGTGTCCCATCGATGCAAACCCATTTCTGCAGGCCATTCGTGCAGACGTCCAGTGGCGTGACGGCCACCATGTTCAAGCTGGTCCAGTCTTCGCAAGCTGGGCTAGAAAAGAGTTCGAAGACCACGCCTGGACCATCATCCTTGGCACCAACAAACCACCCAACCCCATGCCAAACACTCCATGTGATATTTACCTGGTACCGATATTGGGGTGGTCTGAGGGGTGAATGCAGTCCCATGGATCCTCAATCCCATGAAACCTCCGGAATCAAACCAGGCATCCGTCTGATTGTAGACGTACCGCACGGGACCCTTGCCAATGGGCTCGCTGATGTTAAAGGGACATGTCGCGGTGATGTCGACCGTCTCCTGCGTGTAACTCCCCGTGCAGCCAGAAGCTTTCGACGAGCTTGAGGAGTCAGAGCTGCCGTAGGTCTTGATGGTGAGGATGTTCTGGGACGTGTGCGGGAGAGTCTTTGATAGATTTTGGGGATCAAGGTCGTACGTTTCCTAAACTCTTCAAAGCGGCGATGAAGACCAACCCCCGCCGGTGTTCGCCCCTGTTTTCGAGCCGCATCTTCGGGTTCTACGTCTTGGGGTCTCTCAACTGGAACGAACGGTTAAGAGGTTGCTGAGCGCTTGTCGGCTTGCTGAGCTGGATTGGTTTGGAAACGCATGAAACGCACGAAAACCGAGGTGGCTGACAGCGCTGAGAATGGCACAAAACACAAGCTTCTTTAACTGGCTGCTGGTCTAGAAGTGACAAACTGCTCAAATGTTCAAACTATGTTGCACACACTCTTCTATACAAAAAGAAGCTTTCGTACGCTCGTATCACATCTATGCCAGCTGCCAGCGGCTGGAATCCCAAGAGGCATCCGTTTTGGAGATGATTTGGCATTTGGGGATGCAATGGCAGGCGTCTAAGGGCACCGAGGAGAACTTCCCCTTGATCGATGGACAGCTGGATCTTGTTAGCCAGCCATAGTTGACCTTCTGACCAGCTCCTGTCCATGACAGGTGCCGATGATTCAAGTATATAGAGTAACTTCAGCAGATTCAGCAGCACAAAACACAACACAAACATACATAGACAAAACGTTGGAGTGGTTCCAACAGAGGTTGAAGAACCCTAGTTCGACTGTACATATGTGTACCCCAGCACCACCAGATTGCTCCTGTCCAACCTGATCAACCATTGTACCCCAGGTGACGGGTCCTTTCAGGTCACTTAACCTCTATTGGTTGGCCATCTACTCCAACTGGACCAGCGACCTTTCTCAGTGATGCCGACCGGACCTCTTCTTACCCGACGCCGGTCCCTCGGACCCCAAGAGAGGACGACACCCTCTGGAACATGGAAGGCATGGTTGTGGACGGCATGGTCCCTTTGGACCATGCCATCCTCCTTCCACAGAGGCGTGGGTTTACGAGACCCATGTGAGAGTCAGGACGGTTCTTCCACCGTACCGGGGCGAGAGCTCGGCCCCATGACCGGGCCAGAACTCGCTGCCCCGATCAGCTCGAGTGCAACCCTTCGCCGAGCTGACCACCCCTGCGACGGACGTCGGACGTCGTCCATAGACGACGAAGAAGTAGACGAATGATGACGAACGGAGAGGCAGCTGAAGAACAGTTCCCCTTGGTAGGTCTCATCCAAGACAGGTTCTGCATGGTTCCCCTACTTTTGCTGCACTGTTCCCCTTTGGTCTCAATGACTTCTACGTCTCGGTGCAGGAGTTTCATCACTGCAAGCTGCTGACTCGCAAGGGCAGGACCTTCTTCGCCCACAGAACGTGCTCACGAAATCTCACGAATGTCTGGCTGTGACAAAACCATGTCAACTGTTCAAAAGCTACAGGTGTATCTAGCTCCAACATGGCAAGCGGACAAGCCAAGCCTGAAAGAGAGCAACGACCAACAAATCAAGCCTCCTGGTGGTTGTTGCAAAGGTGGTAAGAAGATTTATAATTAATAGGGACGACGGCGGAGTTGCTCAACTGCAATCACCGCATCCTATCACTATCAATTACGTCTACTGTACTGCGTCTGTAATCTACCACTCATACAGAAAGCATATAGCGGTTTGTAACTGTCATCTGACCTTTTCTCTTCTTTGGCCGGTGCATCTCCTGGTGCCGAGCACGACTCCGCCCCGCACTGGCCCTCAGCGTCGCCGCGAACCTCGTCTTTCCCGCAGCCGTGCAGCGCGAGGGCGAGCAGCGCGAGTGCGAGCGGCGCGAGCGTCCGGGCTGCCATGGCCGCGCTGCTGTCTGGGTCGAATCGAGGTGTTTTTGTCTTAGCACGGCTTGTTGAACATCGACGTTGGGTTGAGATGAAGAAGTGAAAGAACAAAAATGACTGCAAACGGTCCTTGACGTGTTCTTTGGTGAACAGAAGGTATAGCTCGTAGCATATGTTGTCCCGTTTAGACTTGATCTACCTTCTTCCTCTGGCCGCCAACTCTTCATCGTTCTCACCAGACCGACCGAGACCTAACCGCGATAAGCGGATGCCAAACAGGCAGGAGAAAAGCACCTGTGAGGTGTGCTGCATGGCAACTTCCATCTGAACCGTGCTCAGTGGACCCGTCTGTGGACTCCTGGCGTTCCCCTTTTCGTAAAAAGAAGCGTTGGATCACCCAACGCCAAGGGTGCCCCTCGCGCGCCAAGGGAGGTGCGGGCACTCCAGAGTTTGAAGTTTCATGAAGTTTCACTACTACCCAGCTACAAGTGAAGCAGCTGAATATTAATTAATGAAAAATAACGAAACAACTTCGTAGGTCTTACGTGGCCACTGGACTGATCTTGTCTTAACCTTGCATTTCAACTCTATGTCTGTCTGAAGCCCACTCTCTAATCAAAACCATTCAACACCATTGCCTCTCCATCCTCCCAAGAAGCACGCGCCAGTTTCAGCTCACCCTCCGTCTCGCTCCGAAAAAAGAGACCATCTCCCACATCTCCAGCTCATCCTCCCATGACCCATCTCCGTCTCCCTCCGTCTCCCTCCTCGTCCGTGAGCCAGGAGGGTCGCCAAGTCATGGGCCTCGGTCGCCGCGAAGCTCCGCCACGAGGCCGGGCCACAGGTCAGACTCTGGAGGACCATACATGCCCCAAGCCTGAAGAGGATGTTCAATTCCAATGGCTGGGGTCATCAAGAGTCTACAATTATATAACAACTATATAAGACTAGACTAACAAGCCAGCCCAGCCAGGCGAGAGGATTCTAGAGGACCACACTTCCACGTCGTAGGATCGATTCTTTGGTGCTTTGAAGCTGTGCAGCTTCGCCCACCACGTCGCAGGAAGAGCCGCCGCGAGCGGCCAGGCGATCAGAGCTGGAGCTGCGCTCGGCTTTGGGGGGGGAAGACGATGTGAGAGTCCAGATGGCCGGCATCCCATCTGTAGATGATGGCATCCATATAGCATTAGATGTCGGGTGACATCTTAGGATTTCCATGTGACAAAGCGGCACCCTCCGAGACGCAGAGTTCGAGACGCAGAGGAAAAAACGGCATGTCTCTGTTCCACTCGAGGCCTTCAGGGCCTGGACCCAAGGATGCTCACTTTTCTTCAGAAAAGTGGCTCAAGAAACAGATGCTCAGGTGCACATTTTTTTGAATTAGACCCCCCCTGACTATGTACATGTTCCATCACCACCCGAACCGGGTGCTGCTGGACCAGATGCAGTATGTTGCAGTTCCTCTTGGCTTCATAGTCATTCTTAAATGGGTGGCATGTAGGGAAAACGGCCCCACAGGAGGGACGGGCCAAGACCTGTAATGAGTTAGTTCCGCCAAAACCCCAGGTGTTTTGACACCATTCAAGATCATTCAAGTGCGTTCCATCTGTATAGTATAGATATGTTGTTCCTTGCTTTCAGGGTTGCCCGGCCAGTAGGGTTTTCATGTGTTCAACTCTGAGTTGAGGTTGCCTTGCGGGATTTGGGTCGAAGAATACACGTCCCGAAGAGGGTCACATGGAACCTCTTCGAATTGACCGATGGTGGTGGTGGTTTCGACCCTTCTCCTCTACCAACCGACGTGGTGACCGCAGGTCGATGGGGTCGCTGGGATGCCAGGCGGTGGATCCACCTGAGGCCGCAGTGACGTCGGACGACAGGCTCTTGGAGAAAGAACATCCTAGAAGTTGACGTGAAAGAGCACTACTAGTGCTCTTTAACGTCAAGATGACTCGAAAAAAAAAAAAAAAAAGGTACCTGGGTATCGACGTGCCTTGACCAAGCGATGTCAAACGTCTAAATCCGTCTAAAGTGTTTGGAACTCGGGTGGGGGAACTGCCCTTGGCAATCGTGGCCGTTCGCAAAAGAGTTGCCCCCAAATCGAATGGAATGGTCGCCTCTAAGAAGCCTGTTGCCAAGGGCCGAGCCTCCTTGGTACCTTCATAGCATGTACTATATACCCCCGGGCTGAAGTTCGATGTTGACTGGGCTTGTGTGCCTTACGGACATTCCACCTGGAAAAAGCTATAAAACTCCTCCAACTCCACTTCCGCCCCTTCAAAGTTTGGTCTTTTTAACGACCGCTCGTGGGGTTGAGGAGGGCTGCTTGTCGGGATTCCACTCGATTGGTTGGAGGGTAAATCTACGGCGAAGTAGCCTTTTCACCCTCAAAACGATGCGTGTCCTGTCATATTTACCTGGGAAGCCTGGTGTGCTATAAAAATAGCACACTGCTTCACTGTGTCGTGTTTTCGTTCCAAAGAGCGCCACTGCTTTTTGAGCTGTTATGGCTGTGCAGTTCAAGGCTGCTTGACATCCACCAAAAACCATGTTTAAAATACTCATGGGTGTTTGCCACCAATCAAATGTTAGATAAAAACTGCGCATCATTGAGAAAACATATGACGTCATGTCTGGGCAGCCATGGAGCTTTCCCATCGAGTCTTCTTCGAGGACTGGTGGGATGACTGAAGCACAAACTGCAGGCCTCTGGGGCAACAAAGTTACCACCTCGAAGCTAAAGCTATCATGTACCTGCTGAGTGTGCGTTCATGAACGGTCCGTACCGACACCGCACGTGAAAACGCAGCGACCTTGCCGATAAAGTCTTCATCTAATTGAGTGCAAAACGCTAAAGGGGATATGGATGGCAAATTGTGGTGCCTTTCGAAGGCAAGCTGAAACAAGAGTTCCCCAAACATGTGAAATTTGGGTTGATATTTGAACCGTGTCAATCCCCAGTCATAGGCTGCTTGCGCACACTTGGCGAAGCTATTTGAGAACTTGTAGCCTGAATTGAGGAGGGTGTTCCGTTCCTCCTTTGAAAGCCACAAAGAGGAGTGATAGATACATTTCATGAACTTGTTTGCTGCAGAAAGCGCTGACACTATCTCAGCAAAAAACGAGCTGGCGTCGTTGTCCAAAGACTCCAACTCATTCTGCAAGCGGTTCTCCAAGAAGTACATCAATGAAACGGTGTCGGCTCCTTTGAACCAGTTCCTGCGCTCAGTGTCAGAGTTAAAGGTAAGGGTCAACAAGCCAAAGTACATTCTTCCCTGCACAAACAGAAAAAGTTTAAGGTAAAATTCTGGAAAGCTTCCCTGTAGGATACTCAGAGCTCTTGCTGTACCCTAGCAGTGCCCGGGTTAAATGTGTGAGGTGCAGCTGAAGTGAGTGTTCGATGCAAAAGGCTTTCAGTGCTCCAAAACATTGGTCACACGGTTCGTCAAACGACCCACGCCCAAAGATGTCAAAGTCAAAGGAGCAAACCTCAAACCAGGGGCCAAGTGTCGTTCGCAAAGAAGCCAGGTAAGAACAACTGTTGAGCTAGGCAACAAAAAAATTGCAGGGGTTTGCACACCATGAAGTCCAAAAGGCTATCGCGTTCGCGCAAAGATCTGCAAACAATCCCTTGTGGAGGGTGTGAAACAAGTCGATGCGAAAAAAGTTTGGTTTGTGGCTTTCTTGGATTGGGACGGCAGATAGAAGATCTGGCTCTTGGTGCCATGGCATAGGAGCATCAACTCGCATCTGCAACATGCGGTCATATGACAGGTTGTGCCAATCTTTGTAACCGTCTTTGTCAGCTAGGCACAGGTGACAGATACCGTGTCCTGGCTTCTGCTGAGCTTGGCGCCCAAAGTGTCTGGTGAGTTGGCCAACTTTGGCCAGTGCTGGCCAATCTCCCTTTACAGCTATAGGGACTAAGAAATACTTGCGCACATCGTCACCGACAGCAAGTTCAACACCGTTGAAAAAAGCGTCCCTCAACTCTAGGGAGAGGTTTTTGACCAAGAGTGACAGTGGTTTGCCCTTAGCCTTCCTCGAATTGTACACCCTGCCAAGCATAACGCTGTAAAGTAGCCTCGTCAACAAAGAGTCACCAAGCATGTTGCACCCGGGTTCAGCATCAGAGCTCTTTCTTTTCCGAGTCCCCTTTCCCAGAAGGGGCTGCACAGAGACCACCATAATACTTTTTTTCTTCAATGTGGTACCTTCATCGAAGTGAAGGCAAATGGGTACGCAGGAGCCCGTGCATGAAGCATGGTTTGCAAAGACTGGGTGTTCAGGTTGAAGAAGTTTGAATCGATCCCAGAAAGCTTCAAAAGCAGAAGAACTGTGGCCCATCAAGAACTGACCTTCAAACTTCCCCACGGCAGCAAGAGTTTGCAAAGCATCAGCTACACGTAGAACGGGGTGTTTCTGTTTGAGGCCCACATCGACATCACTAATGGAGATGTCAGCCGACAGGCCATACACAGCCAAATTGCGAGATAGGCGGTTCTCATGACCCGTTGTCGATAGCTTGGTGGCCATACTAAAGAAATGTCCGCTTGGAGGTTCCTTCCCCAAGAACGGTGCAAACTCTTCCCAAACGGCCCGTGCAATAGTACAGGCTTCCTTCTCACTTACCTAAGTTTGCGAGCGAACGAACCTGGAACCCAGAACACAAGTGCCAAATACCAAAAGCTGGAGTGAGAGGGTTGTTGGGTCAAGCAGCCTTTGGGGCTTTCAGTTTATGTACCCTGGTCCTAGACCCCTATCCCTGCAAGATTGGAACGAGGAAGAACCGTTGAAAACAAAATTTATCAAAAACCATGAGGCACTCCCTTCGCCACAGCAGATGCGACGGCTTTAGCCGCAGGACCGCAGCGCAAACTCCTGGCAGCTTTTGGTTGAGGCCTGGAACCTGCGCGGGCGGTTTTCCCAGGATTTATCAGTCTGAGGTTGCTGCTTGTAGGCTGTCATCACTATACATGCACATGTTTTTTTCCCAGCCATCAACTTCTTTCGCACGTCCTGCTGTTTTGCAACAGCGTGCGGTGAGTGGACCACACG